CCTTTGCAATGGTAAGGCCTCGCTATCACCTTTTCTATCCACTTTTCTTTTCCATTTAAGTCCCCAGGTTGATTAAAGGATACAGCAATGTCAAGGAAACATGTTTCTATCATATATAGCTACATGTCCCATCCCTCTTCCACAGTCAAGTATAGAGACTCCTATTTCTAGGATTAGAGACAGAAATGACTGGATGGAATTATTACAGTACTTATAACCTGCCCTAATCCCAAAGGATTCTGGGCAGCATACAACTTCCAATAAAAATAAAACAAACAAGACAACCCATAATAATAAATAGCAAAATCAGAACAGTATCAGAAACACCACAGAAAACAAGAAAAAGTCCCAAATAAAACACTAGAGCAATTAGTAGATTGCTCTGCTGGTCTTTTTCTTGATTCTGCTTAGAGAGAAGCATCAAAGCCAAAGTGGTCCAAGAAGAAAAATATTAGTCAGATGTACTTTTGGGGGGAGTGGATAAAGGGCATGGGCTACAGTAAGGTTGTTATTATGAGAGGGAAATTAAAACAAGCATTTTTAAATGCTTAAGATATATTTATGAACATTATTTCTCTATGTGTAAGAGGCTTTATATGAAATTCAACAAAAACAGAACACTAGGCAGCATTTTGCTATCACTGCTGTTGACTCAATTCTAAGCTTTCCTCCAAAACAAATGTTAACCCAGCAGCTACTGTAGCTTTAATCTGGAAACCTGCTATTGAGGAGGCTGATGCCCTGTACCATAATATCGATTGAATGTAAGTAAGGAGAGACAGGCAGGATGAAGCAGAAACTGTTAGTGACCTCTCATAGACTAGTCTCCATGATCCATTGCTTACTTTCCGATTTCAGATTACTATGAATTTTAGAGCTGTTCATAACTTGTAAGACAGCACATTCATAGGATACACCATGCTTCATCTCCCTAATCTTTTGTGTGAATTTAATTACCAGGTCTCCTGAGTGCTTGCACAAAGTACTGTTATTTTGCTATGAAAGAAAAAAAATCTGCAGAGAAACGAATAATCTCCTGCAACCATAGGAACAGACATCAACTAGTAAATTACTGAAGAGGAAGAACTAAAAGAGTCTGTGCTGTGTACAGGAACTGTATTTAGGATATTTTTAATGAACATTGGAAAAATTGGGACTACTTAAACATCATAGATGATTCTTGGGCAAAGTAATATAACATCACACAATATACTGGGTAGAGTATACTGTACTTTTTCTTTCTGATTTGGGCTAAGGAAAGGCAGTATCTTATAATAAGTAATATAGTTACAGAAACAACTGAATGCATATTCTCAAATGGCCTTTGTGTTGTAGGTGATTGCTGCTGAAGGTGAAAAAGCTGCTTCTGAATCTCTGAAGATGGCAGCTGAGATACTGTCCCATACACCAGCTGCTATCCAGCTCCGTTATCTTCACACTCTGCAGAACTTGTCTTCTGAAAAACCTCCCACCATTATTCTGCCTTTACCCTTTGACCCCCTGAACCTTTCAGTTGCAGTGAATCAAAACTCCGCTGGCTACAACCCTTCAAGTTGTGACAATAACCCAGTAACTTCAAAGGGCAAGGATTCCCCCATGCTATAGAAATTCATGTAAAATTCAAAGGATTATGGTTTCAAGCTGTAGCTGATACAGTTCACCACATAATTGGCAATTAAATCTCCTGCTTAAAATTCAAATAGTAATAGCAATCAAATAAAAAGTACCAAACTCAGATATACTACCCAAGATACAAATGGCAGGATGTTGCAGCCAATCCTGACTTATAAATTTACTTCTAAGAAGCTACTTATTTTTATCCTTTTTCTTTCTTTTCTATTTTTCTGTTCCTTTCTTGCACTTTTAGCTTTCTTTTTGATTTCTCCCTTTCTTTTTTCTTCATTACTACATATTAGTTTGTATTAGTTTTTAATCTTCCTTTTTAAAAAGTTTTA